AATAGTATTTGAATAAAACAACTTTTTTTATATACGCACTATGGGAAAATATTTTTATCCAAATACTATTTGTCACAATTATAAATTATGACCCAGCTCCACCTGAGATCTCCCCAAGTGAATGTTTGCTCTACGAATAATTCTTGAAATAAAACACTTTATGGTGTATATTACAAACAAAAAATTAATGTCAAGCATTCTAAATAATAATAATGCAATTCATAGAATTTGACAACAAGATTAGAAAATAGCGTAAATATAAAATCTAAAATAACACTGTATAACACGATTTTTGTTCCCAAGTTCTTACTATTGTTTTCTGGTGTATTAGAATACACACAATTGGAAAATGCCGTTTCACCTTTAACTTCGGTTTTCAGTCTAGGATATCTATTTATTCGAAAAATGCAAGGACAAAAAAAAAAGGTCTAATAATAATGATAATGAAAAAATATAAGAAAAAAAAAAAAAAAGGTCAGGTGTTGATATCAAAAATAAAAATGGCATATCCTGACCAGGAGCACATGTGCTTTACAGAAGGCAGAGCGCCATCTGGTGGAACAGAAATCGACTAAACATTGATTTAACCTGTTCCCTGATATTTGGCCAACCCAATTTCTTGATAAATCATGAAAAGCCATCCACGAACGCGTTTCGCGCTTTTGACGCAATCTTTTTGGTCGCATTGGTACAGCCTACTCCACGCTGACGAGCGCCAAAAGCGCGAAACGCGTTCGTGGATGGCTTTTCTTGATTTATCAAGAAATTGGGTTGGCCAAATATCAGGGAACAGGTTAAATCAATGTTTAGTTGATTTCTGTTCCACCAGATGGCGCTCTGCCTTCTGTAAAGCACATGTGCTCCTGGTCAGGATATGCCATTTTTATTTTTTAATAATGATCATGTATTTAAAAAAAAAACGAAATTAAAATTAACATACTACTTGTCGATCAAGACGTCTGAAATTTTGCATTCTTGCATTGTCATTTGTATTGAGCAAGTGTGTAAATATTTAGGTGTATAGGTAATCTGAAGCTATTCTAAAATTTGATTACAGCATTATGAAACTATTTTCTTCCAAACATAATTTGCGAAGTATTGCATTCTCATCGGGATTGAGCGAGTGTTCAAATTTTTAGATTTCTACTTCGTCTGTTTAAATTCTTGGACAGTCATGCAGGTAAGTTAAATAAAATCTTTTTTTTTTCTTTGAAAAAAATTGCACGCGCCTATGCTATTTAATAACGCGTTATTAACATTTTACATTATCAATTTTACAGCAACCATTAGCAAACCTTAGCAATTTCTGACGTACATGTGTCTATAATTCTCTAACCCTTCAGAATGGTGTCAGTTTGTCACCGAGATATCGGGATTAATTAATTAATTTTTAATTAATAAAATGATATAGTTGATTTATATATAAAATTTTCCAAAATTAATTAATATAATATTATTAATAAATTAATATCTCACAGATATATTAGAAATATAGGATGCAAAATCGTCATTAAAATATTAGTGATGTGTACTACTCTATTGGTATTTTATAAAAAATAATTTTGTGTAGAATAGATGAATTTTTAAACATATAATTAGCTAAAACCAATTTAGCATGGCCGAAAGAGGCTTAAGTATAATTTGGTTTAACTTTGCTTTGTTTGCGGTCATTTTTGGGAAAGGAGTTGAAAATAATAATTGCATCTGCTGTCAAGATGTGTGAAACATACCTATTCGGCATGCCAATTGACGATCAAGACAAACCTTGGGCACCTCACTGCAGTTTTACTCTTTACACTAAAACTCTGGAAGCATGGTACAGAGGTGAGAAGAAAGCAATGAGGTTTGTTATTCCAAGAATTTGGCGAGAGCCCACTGATCACTTGAATAACTGATACTTGTGAATGGTGGACCCTTCTAAACAGCGAAGAGACAAGAATGCACCTGCTATCATTTATGTAGATACTAGACGAATGGCCCGGGCAACGCCCGGGGTTTACCCGAGTGCGAATATATTCTAAAAACGTTGACTTGGGTGGTCGCTATTAACAGGGTGGTCTGTATAGACAGGTGGATGTATCACACAGCTGATAACAGGGTTGTCTAGAGTGGTCGCTATAGACAGGGTGGTCTGTATAGACAGGTTTATGAGAGAGGCACAAACTTACAGGTTGTTGACGCCGCAATCCCCAGAGAGAGTGTTTTTTGTTGCATCATGCTGTGACTCACACGACGACCCAAGGTCAACAGGGGTGGAGCAGCAAGCTTAAGCCTATTACCGTCTGGCGGCGCTGCTTGCGAGTTACATCTACAATTCTGCAAATAACTCTAAGGATATTCAAGATATTCAAGAAATTATTTTTCGAAAACCTTTCCGGGGATATACCTAATAATATCCCAGAATTTCATGGCGATTGGATGTATGGTTTTTGAATAACAGGGTTGTCTAGAGGGGGGCAGGGAGGACACGTGTTCCCTTGCAGCCAATGAGCGCGCATTCTATCCGTGAGCTTCAGACAAACAGACAGAATAAGGCAAATATATAAGTAGATTCCTTCATCCATTGTTCCCGTTTCTCACAGTCCTCAGTACCCAATACATAATCCGACAAAAAACGCCCATCTACAACATTATAGAGCAGTAAATCAGAGGATGAAGACAGCTTTCAATACATTTGCACACTCGCTCAATCCTAATGACAATGCAAGTATGCAAATTTTCAGACGCCTAGATCGATGAGAAGTATGTTGTTTTAATTTTTTTTTATGTATTTCATCACATTATTAGGCCTTTTTTGTGTCCTTGTATTTTTAAATAAATAGATGTCTAAGACTCGAAACCGAAATTCAAGCGTATAATTGCTATTTTCCAATTGTTTGTGTCCTAATACACCAGAAAAACACAGTAAGAACTGAACAACAAAAATAGCACTACACAGTGTTATTTGAGAAGAATTTATTTGTATTATATTTTCTAATTTTAATGTAAAATTCTGAATTTTATTACTATATTATAGAATGCTTGACATGAATTTTTTGTTTGCATTATATACCATAAAGTGTGTCATCTCAAGCATTATTCGTAGGGCAAACATTCACTTGTAGAGATCCCGGGTGAAGCTGGATCATAATTTATAATTGTAACGAATAGTATTTGAATAATTATTTTTAATACATACGCACTCGAGGGGAAATGCTCTCGGGTAAAACCTGGGCGTTGCCTGGGGCATTCGGCTATTTCTTTATAAATATAAAAAAGTGCATTCATTTAATATAGAGGAATTTAATATTAAGCATATAATTTATATTTATTTGAATTTTATATTTAAACGATAATCATTATTTCATTTGATTTTTATTATCTATTTACATTTATACATCGTATATATATCGCTTTACACAATTACTTAATATTTCAAGATGAAGTACACTACTTAAGAGAAAATATATTTCCCTAGCAATCTAAAATTAGAAAAGAAAATTGATTTTAAAAAATGTTAAATAAGTTATCTCAAGGATAGCCATTATAAATCACTAATATTTGAATTAATTACTGAATCTTTTAGTTTTGAAAGACACGAGGTCATCAGACAAGCAGCAATTCTGTCAAAACCAAAACCTATCTCACCGCAGTGGGGCGCTGGTTGCGAGTGAAATCATAATTTGTTATGCAAATTTGTAAATAACTCCAAGAATATTCAAGATTGACACCTGAAAATTTGACTATAAATTTTTCCAGATTCAACTCTATATACCTTTAAAATTTCAGTCAGATTAGTTACGTATTGAGAACGTGTATAGCCGACAATGGACATCTTTGCCGGGAGGATATTGATCTATAAAGATAAAGGTCGCCTCTCCCGTCAAAATAGACGTCAAAACTAGACGCCATCTCTTGACCGTTGCCGCAAAATAAGGGCCTTGGGTCGATGACAAAGTCACAACACCAGCTTTGGTAAACTGAGAAGCGTACACCTAGAGACCATGGTTTCTGGCTAATGGCCCTCGTCAGTCTAGGGCGGACTTTATTTCATGAGATCCACACGGGATCCAATGGAATCTTTACAATCTGCCAAAGAGATATTTAGCTGGTAAAGTGGCTAGGTCAAATCTTTATCCAAAATATAAATGGAAATTTAGCCAGGAGGATATTGATCCATAAAAACAAAGGTCGCCTCTCCCGTCAAAATAGACGTCAAAGCTAGACGCCACTTTGACAACCAAACACTTCTTTGGCAGATTCTGAAGATTCCATTGGATCCTGTGTGGGTCTCATGGAATAAAATACGTCTTAGACTGACGAGGGTCATTAGCTCGAAACCATGGTCTCCAGGTGGACACTTCTCAATTTACCAAAGCTGGTGTTGTGGCTTTGTCATCGACTCTAGACCGCTAATTTGAGGCGACAGTCAATAGATGGCGTCTAGCTTTGACATATATTTTGACGGGAGAGGTAACTTTATCTTTAAAGATCAATATCTTCCCGTCAAAAATTCCATCTAAGGAAAATTTAATGAAAAGGATCTTTGCTTAGTAGACAAGCCTTGGGCTTCAACGAGTTTCAAACTACCTATTCTTTATTTCAGTTAGGTGAAACTTGAAAGATCCTCATTGAGGCTGACGATCGAGTTAGAGCGCCTTGTGTAAACGCCATGTTATAAGATTGTCCCAAAATTTCCTGTTTTTTCTTAAAACGTTGTTTTTCTTATTATTTAGCGAATAATATTACGGTAAATACATAATACAATTACTTTATACATAATACAAAGACATTATACATAATAGCGAATAATATTATGGTGAATAATATTGGTATTTCAATTTTTTGCAAGTTTTACGAACTTTTGGGACAACCTTGTATATATCTCCAAGTAATATAAAGGACTGCGGTGTATGATTATAAAGTAATACTTAAAGCCTCCCCGCATAAGTTTCTTTTTTTGTGAAAATCAATATTAATTTCAAAGAGAAATATGTACTATTTCTAACTTTTTGGATGACGTATGAAAAGCCTAGTGGACATGGCACCTGCCCGGTAAGCAGAAGGTTGTGGGTTCGATTCCCGCCCCTGGACACTTTTATTTTTCCGTTCGCCATTACTCTTCACATTTTCACCCTTTCATACGTCATCCAATCATATATAGACCATTACTCTTCATATATTCAACCTTTTCATACGTCATCCAAAAAGTTAGAAATAGTACATATTTCTCTTTGAAATTAATATTGATTTTCACAAAAAAAGAAACTTATGCGGGGAGGCTTTAAGTATTACTTTATATCTCCAAGTGTTTACTGCGTTGTCGAGGCAATAGTCTCAAGATTCAGGCGAACAAACACTTGCCGTACTAATATCCACCTAACTTAACAAATTTGGTCATAAGATGTTCTTAGACGAGGGTAAATATAATTTTGAATAACAAATAAACAAAATATATTTGCAAAGATTTTTATTGTGTATTGACAAGGTATATAAGCGACGTGTATATAAGCGAGACCAAATAAAGAACTATCATCTTGTATCACCTTGTATCACCTTGTATCACCTTGTATCACCTTGTATCACCTTGTATCAGCTTGTATCACCTGCTAGCCTCTTCTAGATCATACATCGAGGATATAACAAACTTCTTTTTTTTAATTAAAATCAAAATAGAAGCCATTTGCAAATATTTTTGTTTATTTTTTAAAAGTATATATTTATTTACAACTATATTTCAATTAATAAATACAATCTTATTACCAAGAATGAAAGAATTAGGATTGGAGAAAGCCCTCAGTACCACGCTCTTTAACCCTTTCAATCATACATCAGTACATACATGATACATGTTGGATGTTATATAATTAAAATATTATTTTTTATTCTTTATTTATAATATTCTGTGACTTGTGATGTTGGGAAAGTTTATATATTTAGGCTAATAGAGATTTTTAGGATATGTGAGAGGTAATTTATATAAAAATTGTTAGAGAGATGGGTAATTTTTCCTAGTAAGGGTAACTTAAATATATTTAGAAATTTATATTCATTCTTTGGTTTTTACCTGCAATAAAGGAGATTGTAAAACGACATTTGAAATACTATCCCGCATATGTTTCCTTTTCAACGAAAATTTTATTTCAAGGAGAAACAACGATTATTTCTAACCTTTTGGATGAGGTATGAAATGGTGAATTGTGAAGAGTAATGATAAACGGAAAAATAAAAGTGTCCAGGGAGTTCCAAAAGTTCCCATCCCTGGACACTTTTATTTTTCCGTTTATCATTACTCTTCACAATTCACCCTTTCATACCTCACCCAAAAGGTTAGAAATAATCGTAATTTTTCCTTGAAATAAAATTTTCGTTGAAAAGAAACACATGCGGGATAATATTTCTAATGTCGTTTTACAATCACAGGCCGCATTATATTATATTGTAATAAAGGAGATCTTTAAAAGAGTAATATTGCCATCCACCGAATAAAACATAGGAGTGGCATAGAGTGAAAATGTATGGCTACTTTCAGTCTTGTATTCTTATGGTAGATTAGGTTATACAGAGTGTCCATATAAATTCATTTTTCCATTTCAAATAGACACAACATAAGATGTGATATGATAATCAAATTCTGTATATGTACAAATTCATTATTGAAACTTTTCAGCATAACTTTAACAGGGACCCTGATATTGACGTTTAAGTTACGCACAAAAAAGAATAAATATTAGAATTAAATAATTAAATTATCAATATCGTAAAGATAGAGGCTGCCTGGCCGGCATTAATATTTATTGAAAATAAAGATACTTCGGCCAGTAAATATTTTTATTATCTTGACGTTTCGACAAAAAGCTTTTGTCCTCGTCAGGAGCAAACAAGAATTAAACATTTAACGCCTTGCTTAATGTTTAATTCTTGTTTGCTCCTGACGAGGACAAAAGATTTTTGTCGAAACGTCGAAGTAATCGTCCAATCCCACCAGTGAGTGCAAGTAACCAAACGGGGCTCTGGCACATTTGTAAGTGCAAATTCGAACTGCTTTTCACATGTGTAGACATGCGACCTGCTGCGTGCTTCATAACAAAAACCCTCGTAAAAGATGTACGATTGGTCCATCGAAATATCGGATTAATAAATAATCTTATTACAATCCAAAATAAGCCTTATTTAATATATATATATATATATATATTATGGATTGCTCTATATTCAGAATGTGTAGATATGTGGTGCGCTTACAGTAAAAGTAGTCGCCTTCTTCTACCCACCATGATTATCATGGCCTGTACCACGTGTACTAGGGATAATTGAAAAAAAAAAGATAATGACCAAACACTTCTAAAGACAACAAGATAATTTTAGATACTCTCTGTTATTTTATAATAAAACCTCCGAAAGATAATTTTCTTACTTTATTAAATCCCAAGTTTTCGGGTACTGTAAACCTTTCTACAGGAGCATACAACTTCTGTTATTAAAATTTAATGACAAAATTAAATAACAGATTCCACTTTTGGAGTCGATAATAGAGACAAATGAACGATGAGAGACATGACCAAGAGAGACGTTAGGATGGCCCATCGGCCGGGTCACATGTCTGAGTGTTTTATTTTGTAAATAAATCTCCTTTATCTAGCTATGGCAATCTTGCAGGGCGCTTTGTATCAGTGTAAATAGGACTTGGCATTTGGAGAGTAAATTATAAGACGATAATATGTCATCTATATATAAGAAATGAAAGAATTAAAGAACGAATGTTCATTTTTAAATATAAAACAAACTTCTAATGTCCTTACTGCGTTGAAAATTTATGCTCAACTGGCCTTGTACTTATTGTTTACGGAAGAGCATTGCTCGATGCAAATATTTATATGCAATTCTGCTGTCTTAAAAGCTTATGTTCATAGTTTACTTGAAAACCATTTATAAGATTCCATCCTTCAGTGTAGCATATAAAAGAAGAATCGTCTAATACAGTATTAGAGATCTGAGAAGCGGTCTGGTAGAATAAATTGGCGAAACCGCTGGGAGGGTTCACCACTGATGAGCCAAGCCCTCTCAATATTTTTTATCGCAGTAAGGAGAGAAGATAAGTTTGTTTTATATTTAAAAAGAAACATTCTTGCTTTAATTCTTCCATTTCTTATTTGGACAATTGTTAGCAGATCCACAACAGATGGCATATTGTAAGGTAAAAAAGTTACTGAAATATAAGTTGATGTGTGTGTTCTATTAATTTTGACTGCGTACTTCAAACACCCTTGTATATATGACAATGTTTCCGAATAAAAAAAACACCTAATACAAACCTTGAATGAGATGGAAAACACATAAATTTCAGGATAAAAAAACATATCACCAGAAAAAAAAAGCAGGCAATAGTCACAAAAACAATTAAAAATACAAAAAAAATCCATACGGACAAGCAAAAAAACACATACGATCACTTTCTAAAAAAAAAAAAAAACACGCGATGACAGGATCTCAAATGAACTATTCCAGCTAGCAGGGGACCAACTTTCCAAGCCATTAGCAGGAAATTTTGAAGCCAAGCAGGGAGGTTGCAGCAAGGGAATTGGGGACTACATAACCCAGGGGACACGACTTATGGGTGCACACTCCACCCACCTGGCATCCTGGCGTCTGCACGGGTCACGGATGCACCATACACCACTGGACCACCACGAAGTTGGTTAGTTTATATAGCAGCTGTCGTCGTCTGCATTCCGTCCCATCTTGGTCAAATTTTATCATTTCAAAATATCATTGAATAAAATAATCAAAAACATAGAAAAAGAGGTTGCTTTTGAAGAGTTTTTTAGTGATTGAAAATAATTTTATTAATACAATATATATATATATATATATATATATATAGTGTAGAAACTATATAACAAAATTATAACAGTGATTCTACTTTTAAAACTTAAGGAGCAAACTGATAAGAATGATAACTCATATCAATTAGATTTGATTAGATTAGCAAACTAAATCTAAATTAATTATAATAATAAATAGTTATTTAATTTTATAGTCCAGTTTTGTATTAAGATTATCTTCACTATTATGATCATTTAAATAATCATATTTAAATGATCATAATAGTGAAGATAATCTTAATACAAAACTGGACTATAAAATTAAATAACTATTTATTATTATATATATATATATATATATATATATACAATAATTTTATTTTAGTTAAATTAGTCAATACAATATTTATCAATAGCTTGAGTCTTCTTATTGGTTTGTCTTTTGGTAACATGGTCACAAGAGATAAATCTAGAGAAAATAGAATAAGGTGAGATAGAAAGTATCTGGTTATTTATTCTATCATCAAATCAAGGATTCACGACGAACCAGTGATAATATAACGTATATATGTAAAGAAAAGTGGAAAATGTTTTTGAAGGCATTTTAAATATTTCCAATATATTGAAGATATCAATTATAGAGGGAAATATCTAATGCTGATATATACTTGTATTTATCACAAAAGGCATATCCTGATCATTATTTTTACATGTTCATTGTATTTACGCAAGTTTGGCTCTAAATACTCATTTCTTGATTTATCATTTATCAAGAAATGGGTTGGCCAAATATCAGGAAACAGGTTAAATCAACGTTTAGTTGATTTCTGTTCCACTAGATGGCGCTCTGCCACTTAGGCAGATGACTTAGGGATTAAGTATGAAAGGATGAATTGTGAAGAGTAATGATGAACGGAAAAATAAAGTGTCCAGGGATGGGAACCCACAGTATTACGCTTACCGGGCAGATGTCCATTAGGCTACCCTGGACATATCTTTCCGTTCGTAAATGTTATATAATTGACAGGCTAACGGATATAATTCTGGAAGCTGCATATCAATCACTGGAGGCGAAATCTTCCAACTTCACTTTCGATACCGGGATCAAGTGGTGGAACAAAGAATTAGAACAAAAGAAAAAGTATTTTCATTATGTGAGAAATCTATACTTTCATCATAAAGCAATTAGTGCTTAGTGCTTAATTAGTATTAATTAGTAATTAATGAATATAAGTCTGTCAGAAATAAATATAAAAATAGTATTAGAAAA